CCAGGTTTGGTCTGCAGCCTGCTGGTGACCAGTTCATTTCATCTTATGTGCAGCAAAAGCCTTTTCAGGCATAGTTGTTTATCTTACTGTGTGATTTTTCTTATGGATGTGTCCATATTTTGCTTACTGGATCTTCTTTTGTACTTTGTTTTTCATTTTCATGGTCTTTTTCCCTTCTTTATTCCTTTGTTGAAATGTCCCTGTGTTTACCATAGCCTAACCTGTGGTCCCTAATCTGACGTTCTCTGATCTCTCTTTCTGCTTTTACTCCCTTGCCCTTCCTCTTCTGCAGTCCTTTCGGTCATTTGCTGCTTCCTTTTCTTTAAACTTTTCTTTTTCTCCGTTACTCTGCTTTTTCTTTTTCTTCTTTCTTCCCTTCTTCCTTTTTCCTATGCTATCCCTATTGAGCCATTCTGAATCCATTCTTTCTTCTTGCTTGCTTTCCTTTGTGTCCTCTTTCACACCATTTCTTCCTCCTCTACTGTTGCTTCCCTGTTCTCTGTTCCCCTATGCTTCACAGTCCTTCTCTGTTTTCCAGTCTTCGTCTCTGCCCTCCAATCCCCTTCTCTGCTTTTTGGTCCCCTTCTCTGCACTCCTGTTTCTCCTCTGCTATCTTTTTCCTGCTTGCTGCAGGCAGTTTTCTGCTTTTTAGTGCTGATCTGTGCTTTCAACTCATCTGCCCTCCAGTCCTCTTCTCTGCCATCCAGTCCTCTTCTCTGTTCCCCTTTTGCACTTTGTCTCTGCTGTTTGTTCCTCCTTAATTTCTGGTCTTCCTCTGTTTTCCAGTTTTCTGCTTTTCCGGTCCTTTTTGTCGGCTTTCCTTTCCATCTTTGGTCTCTGTTTCTGTTCTCCGTTCTCCCTTTTCCTCTAGGCTGTCTTTTCCTCTGCTTCCTTCTCAACCATTCCTTCCATCCATTTTGTCCTCCTCCTCAACCCCCCCCCCCCCTTCATTTTTCACTTTACCTTTTCATACACTCCTCCATTTCCTCTATTCTTTTCCCTTTTACCGTCTCCTCTCTTTCTCTGTTCTCATTTTGTAATCTGTTTCCCATTTTTCTTACTTTACTAAGCACCTTCTAGTTCATCTAGATATTTAGATCTTCTTGTTCAAATACATGGACTATGTTTTGGTAGCTCAAAGTGCTTGTTCTGAACAGAGATCCTCTCTGAAGGTGAGGTGCACAAGTGCGCTTCAGATGGGTAATGTGGTGATGACAGAAGGCAGGGCAGTGGCATAAACCCTGAAGAAGGTCTGAAAATTATTACTGCCTCATTTACTATTCTGCTATATGACACAACAGAGGAGAAAGGATTATGAGAGTACAATGCTTAGCATATATGAGTACACCCCAACAGATTTGTCAAAACCTTTTACTTTCCTTTCAGAATTAACATTTTCTATGGGACACTATACTACAAAATACTTCGACAAATGCGGGCTATTGATTGCAAACAAGATTTGTTCATTTGCATTTCGCAGAAAAGTATTTTTCCTAACAAACTCATTCAAGACCATATTGCAAAAAATGAATACACCCCAAAGTCTTAGGAGCAAAGCTAAATTTTAAACAAAAAATCCTAATTATTAAGAATTCAACTTTAGGTGAGTCTAATTATTCATTAAACAGGTGTCCAGCAGACAGTTGACTATAAAAGGGTGTTACTTAACAAAGAAAACCCCTTCCCATTTCATGCTGTCAGCAATGGCACCACATGGAAGAGAAATATCACAAGACCTGAGAAAGAAAATAATTTATTTACACAAGTAAGGTGAAGACTACAAGAAGATCAGCAAAGCTTTACTTATCAGTCAGAATACTGTAGCAAAAGTGATACAAACATTTAACAATGATGGAACTGCAACCATCTCACAGAAGCGTCCAGGCCGTTACCACCTCGACAGGAGCGTCTTCTGCTGACAAGAGAAAATTGCCATGCAAGTTTACTGCAGTTAGCTAAAGAAGTAGAAAGCTAACTTGGGTGATTATTTCCTGTGACACAATACGGCGTACACTGCAGAGGAATGGCATTCATGGGTGTCGTCCACGAAGGAAGTCTCTCCTAAAACCCGTGGGGTCCATAGCCAGGGCCCAGGCTGAAAAATAAGAAAACTACTGGGACTCTGCACTCTGGAGTAATGAGACCAAGATAAATGTTTTTGGAACTGATGGCTTCAAAACTGTATGGCGTCACAAAAGTGAGGAGTATAAAGAAAGATGCATGGTGGTGGGGGTGTCCTTCTGTGGGGCTGCATTTCATTGATGGTATCATGAATTCACAGATGTACTGCTCTATATTGAAAGAGAAGATGCTACCATCACTCCGTGCCCTTGGTCCACGTGCACTTTTCCAGCATGACAATGATCCAAAACACGCATCTAAGGCCACTGTTGCATTTCTGAAGAACAGGGTAGAAGTGATTCAGTGGCCAAGTATGTCCCCTGTTTGACGGTTGTGGCGTCAGACCCCCAGCCCTTCTCACCAACTCATGACCGAAGGACTAGCCAATCTAAAACCGCACTGTCACGTGCGTAACAATGCCACGCTCAGCTGCACCCTGCACAAAGATTTTCCAGCTAATGAACCACACTCTATGTACCTGCAGCCTGAGAGCGATTGTTACTGGGTCAGGTTATTTACGCAATTAACCCTTCACACTGCCACCACCGCCTTTTTGTAGAGAAAAGGAGGAAACTCGCCAATATTAGCAATAACACATGATGTTTGAATAAGCGTCTGTATACACAATGTCACCGCAGACAGATGTATGCAGAAGTTTAAAAACAAACAGTAGCGCTCTTCAGAGACAGGGATTCTTAGTTTGCATTAAAGAGCTTTAGAAACAGTTCAACACTTTTCAGAAAACAGGATTTATTACTAAAAAGGTCAAAAGGGTGCAATCAAAATATTTACAGACAAAGATGTAGCCAATCTATATATAAAATACAGAGAGCAATACCACAACAGAGAGATAACAGAAATAAGTTTAGAGAGGTAGAATACTTGCTGTCAGCCTTGGTTAAAAGCAGATCAAGTTTCCTGAACAAAAGGGTACCGTCTCCCAAGTTGGTTCCTGATGTTAAAAGGGGAGAATTCTTCAACTTCCCCGAATCTGACAACCTCTTTTCTAGGAACTCAGCAGGGTGTCTCCTTAAAGCAGAGAACCAATCGCCTCATTTGGGGAGGGGTGTTGTAGGCGGGTAACTCAGGCTATGACCAAATCCCTCCCAAGTTATACCATGGTCAAAAACCTTCCCTAGGGACATGTAGCAGCCTAGCCACTAGTAGATTATTATGCAGAACGATATTCTGAATGTCTAGACATCAAATATGGCATATTTCACTATTCCAGCTAGAACTATATGGCTTTCTGCTCTCCTGTAGGCTATGACCAAATCCCTCACAAGTTATACAATGGTCAATAACCTTCCTTAGGGACATGTAGCAGCCTAGCCACTAGTAGATTAATATGCAGAACGATATTCTGAATGTCTAGACATCAAATATGGCATATTTTAGGGACACTATTCCAGCTAGAACTATATGGCTTTCTGCTCTCTCCTGTAGACTAGGGGTGTAAGATTTCAGACGACTCGCATTAAACTGAGCTATCCGAATATATGCTTGGTTTTCTGGTAATTAATTCCTATCTTAAGATAAGAATTTATACGGGAAAGTGGGTTTTAAATGTGATGTCTGTTTTACGGATATCTCGGAATGCGCTTGAAGTCCAGTGAAGGACTGGTTTATGGCTTTATGATTATCTCAGATTGAGAAGCTAACAGACACCTGGGCACCAGCTAATTTGGGATTTATAACCATGAAGTTGTCCTGTTGTGTCTGATGCCTGTGCACTTCTGAACCCAGCACACAGGGACCACGTGTCACTCAACAGAGAGGGAGGGGGGAGCTGACTTGGAGTAGAAATGATACAAGATGGAGGGCCTTTGGCAAAATGGAGGTTCACATCCATCTCTGTACGTACAATTGCTACACCCTGATCTGAACCCAATCGAACACCTATGGGGAATTCTGAAGGGACAAGTTGATCAACACTCTCCATCCAGCATCCAGGCTCTAAAAGAAGTTGTTCTTGAAGAATGGAAAAAATAGATGGTGCAATGTCACCAACTTATTCATTCCATGCCCGGAAGACTTGATGCTGTCCTCACAAATCATGGAAGTCATATAAAATACTAGATGTAGTAGTCTTTGTTGTGGGGGGTGTTCATTTTTGCATCAACTAATTTGAGTAAAACTAAAGATTTTGTCATCTAAGGTATATTATTAACCTTACTTTCATGTGATGAGCTAAACAAATGTTCTATAAAACTCAGTTTTGTCAAATTTTTGGAAATTATTCTTGTGTTCATTGAGAGATTGACTAAAATCTTACTTTTCAAAAGGGGTGTACTCATTTATGTTGAGCACTGTACATGTGTTAATTCTACATGTATTTGTGTATTTAACTGTGTGACTGGCGTTGACCCTCTTTGTGTGACAAGCCTTGATGGTATGGGGGTCACCGGGTTACTGCACTTCAGGCTTTAATTATAGACTACAAAAGGTAATCTGATTAAGTCATTTGTGCCCCTTAGTATATCTGTGATGGCACTTTTACACAAAGGAAACAAATGTTTGAACTGAACTGTATATTAAAGCAGGAATCCAGCTTATACAGCAGCTTTACTGTACACATCATGCCGACTAAGCATGATTTGCCTCTTGTAATATAGTAGCTACACAAAGACCCTCTGGGTGAGCGTGTGGCCTCCTGCCACCCTGTCCTCCCTCTATCAGAATACAGAAGCTGGTGCTGAAACCTGGCCATTATTAGATGTCATCTCTGGGTTGGCGTTGTCTAGAACAGGGATTGCCAAACGTTGTAAGCAAAGGGCCAGTTTACTGTCCTTGGGGGTAGGACTACACAATGGTAGGTTGAAAGGTAGAGTCAGCTTTGATCCAAGGTCTATTTAACTGCTGCTTCTCTTTTACTTCCTAGGGGTAGTTTAAACCATGAGCTTTCCAAACTGTTCAACCAACTTTGGGATGCCGATGTGAATCGCATGAATCCTGGGAAAGATTACCGCATCTCATTGCAGGTACATTTGTTGATGTCAGAATGTAGGATAAAAGTAACACACGTAAACCACACATTCACTGTACAAATTATTGTTGATATCTGTACTGTCACTGCTACAGGGGAAAGCTGGATATGTACCAGCCGGGAGCAAACAGGCCAGAGACAGTGCCCACTTCCCGCTCTTCCAGTGTGTGGATGAAGAGAAGCTGAAAAGCAGGAAAACATTTGCCAGTAAGTCTCTAGGTTCTTGTAGGCCTTCAGACACATATTCAAGTGGCATAAGGTAAATTGTGAATTGTTAGATGGTTACTTTGGCCTGTCTGATTGGACATTGGTTTGTCTATAAGGCAGGTTCAATTTCCTGCTGGTCAATGTCCTACATCAGGGGTAAACATGAAGGTAGGCCAATCACATCCACATTTCAAGTAAAAGAAAATAGAACAACCTTATATAAAGTGTCCCCATCAGAGTGCCCCCTTACATCATGTGTTCCCATCAAAGTGCCCCCTTACATCATGTGCCCCCATTGAGTGCCCCCCCTTACATCATGTATCCCCTATCAGAGTGCCCCCCTTACATCATGTGTCCCCTATCAGAGTGCCCCCTTACATCATGTGTCCCCCATCAGAGTGCCCCCTTAAATCATGTGTCCCCATCAGAGTGCCCCCTTACATCAGATTTCCCCATACATCTGGTGTTCCTTTCAAAGTGCCCCCATGTTCCCATCAGGATAACCCCTTACATAATGTATCCTTATCACAGTCCCCTCATACATCGTATTTCCCCAACAGAGTGCCCCCATATATAAAGTGTCCCCATCAGCGTGCCCCCTTATATCAGAGTGCACCCCTTAAAAGTGTCCCCATCAGAGTGCCCCCATACATCTGGTGTTCCCATCAGGATGCCCCCTTACATAATGTGTCCCCATCATAGTCCCCTCATACATCAGATTTCCCTATCAGAGTACCCCCTTACATAAAGTGTACTGATAGAGATCTGCTTATACCTGGTGACCTCTGTTTATTGTTTTCGGTGTTTTTTTTTGTTTTTGTTTTTTTCTTCACATGCTTTCTTTCGATTTTGGCAGGTTTTGAACAGGTTCACTTTAACCCGAACCCTGAATGTCCATCTGAGACAAGCAAATGTTGATTATGGTCTAAATCTTCCTTTTTTTTTTTTTTTTTTCTTCACCTTTTAGCATTCATCTCTCTTTTGGACAATTATGAGATGTCCACTGGTGTGGCAGAAGTGGTCACGGCAGAGGAAGTGGCAGAAATAAACCATTTCCTGGATGCCATTTTGGAAACGAAGGTGATGAAGGTAAACCAGCAAGGCACGCTTTTCTTTGTTAGTCCCACCTCCTGTGGCAGAGGTGACTTAAATTTGTTTTCTTGGCCTTTCAGCTTACTCATGAATATCTGGTTAAGAAGAATTTGGCAAAACCGAGCCAAAAAGAGTTCAGATCTCAGCTGTACAACATCTGGTTTCAGCTGTACAGCCGGGAACCAGGGAAAGGGTGAGCCGGGATTTACACACCACATGCCATACACAGTACTGAACAGTGTACATAACTCTGCAATATTATCATTATTATTGACTCTCTGGCAGTGGCAGACTGACAACTCATGGGGCCCCCGGGAAATAGGGGATCATGGGGCCCCTGTGTCCTTGCCCAAACTCAAAAAAGCCTATGAAAAAGGTACCAGGGGCATCTCATGGGGCCCCGTACTGACCCCGGGTTTCCAAATGGTCAGTCCGCCCCTGCTATCTGGATTTCCTACTTACAATCCATATACTAAATATCATTGTTATAAACTGACTTAATACTAGAGAATTGCGTTCTGTAAAAATGCCACCAATACATTTCACGTTTACTTTAATAAACAAGACACATATATATAATTAAAGTGATACATTCAGAGTTATTGTTGCAGTGTTCTATATGACTCACATTTTCAGAACCCTTTTTACCACATTTTTGGTACTGTATTCAGTAGGGCAGTATTTTTAATATGAAGCCAAGATCAAGAATACGGGCACATGACCTCAAACTAGCAGGAGGAAAAACTAGTCTTAGAAAATATTAATTTACCAAAAGGGTAGTTAATGCTTAAAACAAACTTAAAGCAGAGGTGGTGCGTTAGTCAACTGTAAGTGGATTCAAACATGTGTGGGACAAACATAGATCTATAAAAAAAAAAAAAGTTACCAAATAAAAAAAAAAAAAAACAAACATGTATAAATTAAAAAAAAACAATAAAAAAGAAAAGAAAAAACAAAGTGCACACTTGATGGGCCACTTGGTCTGTTTTTCTGCTGTCACGTTTCTATGTATTGAATATAGAGATATGTAGTTTGGCCACTAGAGGGAGTTCTTGTTGCAGTCACATCACCTCTGATGAGTTTAGATATAAGCTGCCCAGGGAGTGCATTGTTTTCAGTGAGTCAGCTGACTCATAGACTTGCATTGTAAGAAAGTAATTTACAAACCTGTAGATTTACCACAATGAGAAAAATATAAAAGAACATGCGAAGGTCATATCTTTACCTTTTTTTTAATTGATTTTAAAAATGTAAAAGTTTTACTCGGAATTTCAAGCAAATATTGCTTTTTTTATGTTTACTGCAGAAAAGACTCTTGCGGGTTTGAACACGTGTTTGTGGGCGAGTCAAAGCGTGGTCAGGAAATCATGGGCCTTCACAACTGGGTTCAGTTCTACCTGCAGGAGAAGAGAAACAACATAGACTACAAGGGTTTTGTGGCCCGGCAGCACAAAAACCGGGTAAGAATTGACAAAAAAAAAAAAAAGGGGGGGGGGACCAGATTTTTATGGTATGTGTTCCAAAAGTTAAACCAACAGGAAAAAAATAAATTCTAATCAGATTAAGCGTTACGGTTTGTTGTTAACATGTGTATCTGAGCAAAAACAAAAATATGCAGTACTACATATCTGCTGTAGGCACACATTTCCCCATGTTCTATGCCTTTAAAAAGCTTCAGTACAGGAAAATACCTGGTGATCTGCCAGAAATCCATTAAGCTTCTTACTTTGTGTAGTGAGCTGGCAACACATCTGCTGTGAAATCCCAAGCAATATTCTCCACCTTTCCTTGCCTTTTTGTGTATAACCCCACATTCATACATTAATTCCTTTCCCAGTAAAGCAATGCTGCTGCTTTGACTCTTGAGAGCCTGCCCTCACACTGTATGTCAAGAAAGGGTTTTCGGGAGCTCTAGGGAAATGTAGTTCTGGAGGCATGCATACGTCAATTGAAACAGAGCTAGCAGCAGCTGTCCCTGCAAGAATTTTACAAGCCTGGTGATGTGGACATGGGGAGAAATGGAAAATGGTTCTTGCTAATGGTAAAAAAAGGTACAAAATCAAGGTAGGGAAAAAAAAATAATGCTTGGACATGATCAAGGGAGGTTTAGGGGTAAATTTGGGTAATCCCTGGACATACCCTTTAAGTGCTTGGAGCCACCTTCTCCATGTTGATGACTTTGCTAAGCATTCTGATAATGCTAAAGTGTGAGGACAGCTCAAGCAAACAACTGCTGGTCATTGGATGTGTGAAGTCCGCAGTCTTTCCCTAGACTAGGGAGGAAGCACAAATTTCTGAAATCTTGCAAGCCATTAGAAGCAGGGCTGGGAGGGAGGAAGAAATTAGAAAGCTGCTAATGTAACTGGTAAGATTTAAAATATATGTAAACCCTCACCTTATAAAACAACCCAGTTTAAAATAGAAATTAAAGGCAAAACATTTGTGTATAGATATAAATAAAATTATAAATACCTTTATTTTTTTTATTTTTCATTTTCCCCTTTTTCATATGTGAACACATACCTACTGTTCTCAGCTGCATAAGGAGTTCAGAAAGCTGGGGGGAGGAAAAACAGTGTTACACTGAACTTCCCAGTTAATGGGGGGGGGGGGGGGGCGTCAGCAGAAGTCTGATCATTGGAGGAGAGCAGGCTGAGTTCCAAGCATAACTAGAGAACTGACCACATAGAGCTCTCATGCCTATTGTGGTCAGTTTTTAATAGGGAAGCAGAGGGACTAACAGAAGCACCGGGGTTTTCACACAAAGGAAGCAATATAGAGAGCAGGATACTTTTTCATACAAGTACATGGTACAGTAGGCACATATCAGGCATAGGAATATTGGGTTTACATATTCTTTAAATCTAGGACCCCAGAGCTGCAAGGCTAAATGCCTAACCACTGAGCCACCTTACCAAACTATATATCTGTAACATATCCTAATATACCAAATTGCTGTTTACACCTGACACCTAACCTCTAACCAAACAGTATCTAAAGAAAGAAGCAGAAGAAATTAAAGGATCCAAACAGGCTTAGGTGGTCCAATGGTAAGCCCCCTGTGACATCAACAGGACTGTCATGTCAAGGTCCTCGAACTCACTGTTGGGTCTTTCTTTTTTGTCTTTCTTCTATCAGCCTGATGAAGATGACCAAGTGTTAAACCTGCAGTTCAGCTGGAAGGACATGGTAAAACCAGTGGGCAGCAGCTTCATTGGAGTCAGTCCTGAATTTGAATTCGCTGTTTACACCATCGTGTTCCTGAAGTCGCAGGAGAAGGTCACTAAGGAACTTGTGCGGGTGGAGGAGTACGAGCTGCAGATTGTTGTCAACCGCCATGGCCGGCACATTGGAACAGCCTACCCAGCTCTGCTAAGCAGTAACAATCCAGATTTGTACTGAAAACCTGTGTCCTGCCCTTTAGTGGCCATTCTCAGGAAACGCAATATAAATGTAGCATAGCATATTTGGAGACTGTTACAAGTTACTACTGTCACCTGAACTAAATGACAGGAGCCATGATTGCGCTCAGACATTATTTTATAACCATACAAAAATAATCTATAAATTCACTAGGAACTAGGGATATTATTGAGGTGTTTCAGGTCTAACACCTTGGTAGTGGCATGTGGTTCCTGAATGTTATTCAGGTGACAGTACTATTCAAGATGTATCCTAAACAAGGAGAAAAGTGAGGCCAGTTACTATATTTTATCAGGGTGCTGTAATAGGGAATGGTGTGAAACATTTCATTTTTTCACACTGGCACTGATTCATCAAGCTACAGTAGTGTCTAACCCCTTCCTGCCCACCATTTGCATGTAAACCTCTCCAAACATGTCTCATGCTGGGGATACATTTATTAATCACCCTTTGAGAGCCACAAGCTAACAAAGCAGCTGGTGGGTCTCAGTAATATAAATAGTGTAGCGCTCATAACAAATAATAAATACAAAATAGAAAATAAAATAAAAATTCATATAGTGTAACTCTTCACTGCGATAGTGCTAAACATGTATAGTGTCAAACCCAGATGAATAACAGTATCTGTGCCCCTCGCTTAAAAACGTGCACACACACCAAATAAATACAGTATCTATAACCGTGCCTCTTACTTAAAAAAAACGTGCACACACACTTAATAAAATATATTAAATAATATATCAACAACCCCTCAAATCAAAACAAGGGGCTAAACAAAAAGTGCTACAGTGCAATAAAGTGTCAACACGCTTGCAAAAATCACCCTGGAATCCTTAAAAAACATGTATAAGGATGGATAAAAATCATGCAATGTGCCTGGTGTTCCTGTGATTGTGCCAACACACTTCTTCTGTGGATTGCTCCTCACCTCCTCCCTGTGTGTGCATGTTTTTAAGCGAGGGGCACAGTGGATCTCCTGTTATTTCATCTGGGTTTGACACTACATGTTTAGCACTATCGCAGTGATGAGTTACACTATATGAATTTTTATTTTATTTTCTATTTTGTATTTATTATTTGTTATGAGCGCTACACTATTTATATTAATTGATTAACACTGTTTGGGTATCAGTTTTTTGAGTGTTGGCAGCTTTAGGTTAGGCACTCTTCCTTTATAGCGCAGGAGGACTTCGATCCTTTGGTGGGTCTCAGTGACACCTGTCACGGAGGCCTGGGGACCAATCATTGTGATTCTTTATCGCTTAACCACTTTGTCAGGTCTGACAGTGTGATCACATGCTGACAGGAGGTTTTATTGGAAAAAATGAAAGCCTGCAGAGGTACACTGCCACTTTCAGTGTCATCTGTTTATTGTTGTTATCAGATTACAGTAATAAAAACAGAGGAAATAATTCAAACATAGGGCATGGCAAAGAGGTCTTCAACCAACATTATTCTCTAGCATTTTCAAAATGCCTTAAGGACAATTTAGAACCCTTATAAATAGCATGATGAGTCACTGCCAGTGTGTATTTTTAAATATATATATAAATATATATAAATGTTTTTTTCTTATTGTTTTTATTTGACGAATTTCTTTACAGACCAAAGATTTTCACCTCGTGCCTTGTAAACATTTCAGAAAGTTTAAAACGGTAATTGCTTTCTAATGAAGAAATTTCCGTGAATCATAGATGTAATGTGAAGTGTTGGATTTTATTGCGAAGTACCTTATTTGTGGAAAAACAATATACATTTCAAAAACAATAAAAAATGCAAATGTATTCATTGAGTTGGTGTAGTTAAAAACCTACTTAAAGTGATTCTAAAGGTAACTTTTTTTCTTTTAATAACAAACCTGTTATATCTGTGCAATGGGTTTGCACAGGGCAGCCCCAATCTTCCTCTCGCATCTTGCAGTCCCCCCTCCTGCACCAGTGCTCCTGGTTCCTCCACCCTGCTGAGTGCCCCCTAGCAAGCCACTTGCTCTGTGGGCACTTGTGTATCAAAATGTGTAGAGGCCTAGCGAGCGCATATGTGAGCAGCTAAATGCACTAAAAAAGGAACCACAAAACCTTTCAATAGCAAGCAAAATAAAGACATTAAGATTGTGCTTGTGCTTCTGGTTAGTGGGCAATCTTATAATTTTCTCACTGGATACCGCACTGGAATCTATTACAGAACTGTCACTTGAGCACTCATTATTATTATCATTAAGGGGCCCGTCAACTCATGACTACATTCAACACATGAATTTCTATCATATATGAGTTTTTATTGTTTTTTATTTGCATTTTAGCACGGCACTTCTGTATGCTCGCGCCTGAGCTGGCTCTGAGTGTCCGTTGACACACATAATGCAGCTCAGCCCTGCTCTCAAATCACTGGTTATGATTGACAGCAGATAGAGCCAATGGCTCCCACTGCTTCCTATCTGTTCAACAAGGAAGTAGAGATCCCCAATGCTCTTGTGCGCATCACTGAATCAAGATCAGGCTCAGGTACATATTTAGGGGGCTGGGGAGAGGGGGGATGCATGGAGAAGGATTTTTACCTTAATGCAGTGAATGCATTAAGGTAAAAAAAAACCCTTCTGCCTTTAGAACCACTTTGAGCAGTCCATATGTGCATCACAAATTCAGCCAGTTCAGCAGGGACCGGCCAAATTTAGTTCCTTGTATGGACAGGGAGGTTGCACAGAAGTTGATATACCAATTGACTTCTGTACAGCCACCTTGTTGGATTTTCCCCACTCGATCAGTGCCACTGGCTATAGCCAGCAGTGTTAATTGAGGTATTTTGACGGTGTGGTCTCTTTGCTGTCAGAATAAAATAGCTCAGTGGGAAGATTCCTTTATCCGCATCAAGAGTATGGATGGGGAAGTCAAGTCCTTTTTTTTGTTTTTTTTTTTGTTTTTTATTCAACTCGCTGGTTGAATGAAAAAAAAAAAAAGACTCATCTATGGGCAGAATATTGTGTGTAAAGTTGACAGGATGTAAAAATGTTAGCCACATTATTTGGCAGCAGAGGGCGCTGTCTGCTTTACTTAGAGCAGTGGTTCTCAACCTGCCTTATGCTGCGACCCTTTAATACAGTTCCTCATGTTGTGGTGACCCCAACCATAAAATTATTTTTGTTGCTATTCATAACTGTAATTTTGCTACTATTATGAATCGTAATGTAAATATCTGATATGTAGGATGTATTTTCAATAGTTCCTTCCGTGATTGTACGAGAACATTTTTGTGCTTGTGCCTTTGGATATTTTCGCATGAACTGTCATGACCAGCCCTTGACAGCGGAGTACTAACGATCAGATTATCAGAAAGCGTTTTTTTTTTCCAGTACCAGAATTTTCATTTCGGTGCAGCACTACAAATAACACGATCAATTGATCAGCCACGGACGGTGACGTGGATTTCGATCGATATTTGGAAGATACAATCTCAGATTATGGACCACATCTCTGTTCTCACCATGCAATCTCATAAATTGATGGAAATATGGTACAATTGATGGAAAAAGCATGTCAGTGCGGCCAATCGATGCAAAACGGTCGATCATTTTGCGCCCTGGTTAATCGACTGAAGGAATTTGATGGGAACGGAAGTCAATCTGATTGCCAATTGGATCTGATAGTAAAATTGAAGTGTGTATGGCCAGTATTCCCCCCCCTCCCCCCCCCCCCAGTGATATCAGCCCTCTCCCTCACCAAGTTGTCTGTCCTGAGGCTCCTTGTATGACCCCAGAAAGTTTGGGATTGCTGGTTGCTGTGTACTTCCCTCTAGCGAGCCGTGTGCCCTGGTGCCAGCCCTCGTACAAGTGCTGTGAGGAGAAGCCTCCGTGGGAGGTGAGCCGCTGTAGGACACATGCTCTGTGGGTAACCAGATCCCCCCTTCCCCCTCCCTGGAGACAAAGGGGGGCCCGGCTCACATCTATCCAGCTGTTGTGAGCAGCTGCCCACCCGGGGAAACATGCAGCAGGTGCAAGGGCAGCCAATGGGCGTCAGCGGGGTACCACCGACCCGCCCCTTGCAGGAGAGGAGCCTCCAGCCTGGCCTGCTGCCTGAGAGGCTCGCAGCAAGTCGGGAGTGCGGGGCACCCTGCCGAGACCCTCCTCCAGCCGCCCTCACCACTACCTCATAGATTCTATCTGCATGTGGGCGGACCGGCCTGGAGACGGATAGAGGAGCGGTGTCTCGGTTCCTAAGACCATCGGAAATATGTGTTTTCCGATGGTCTTAGGCGACCCCTGTGAAAGGGTCGTGACCCCCAAAGTGGTCATGACCCACAGGTTGAGAACCTCTGACCTAGAGGTAGGAAAACTGACATTACATTGTGTACAGGATGTAAAGCCTAACAATAAACCTCTCTAATTTGCTCCCCTTTGGTCTTTTAAACATACAATTGAAACAGTTTTGTTCTGTCAGTTTGACAAGGGCAAAAAATACCTGTTAATCATATCAAAAATCCAGTGAGCTGTGCTGTCTTCCTTTGCTGCACTTATATTCGTAACATTCTTCTTGGCTATCTCTGTGGACTATAGAACCCCTCCCTTCTATGTTTAGGAGAAGGCAAGGTGGAAGATTATTGTAGTCCCATCCTAGAGTAACAACATTGCTGCTTTGGCTCTTAGATACAGTACATTGCATGAGCTTTGTCACCCTATGATAGGAATTGCAAAAAGGCCTGAAAAAGGAAAGCTATTGCAGCCACTACATCTAAAGACTGGTAAAATGCATTAGATTACATTTTCATTCTTGGGTTTAGATATGGGTCAAAGAAAAGACAACACTAAATGGAAATGATAGAAGTTGGTGTATTTAATCATCTATTTTGATGTTAATGTATTCAGATGTAATAAAATACATACCACTTACACAATCCTTTTTTAATAAATGGTATGTATAAGTGTGCAAAGAAAGGAAACTTCAACTAGCCAATCCATACAAAACATAATAGTACATACATATAATGCT